GGGGCATCACGACCACGGCCACGGCCTCTCTGTTCAGCATCACCACTTCCGGTCGATCCACGGCCTCTCCCAAACTCCTCCTTATAGAGCCTGGCCTGGTTGTGGACCTGTGCCTTTTCTTTCAGCTTTGAGCTGATCCAAGCAGTGAAGTTGGTGGTTTTGGCCTCACCTGTCTGGCCAATGCTATCTTCCATCACCAATTCCAAACCACTAAAATCAGGCATCTGGGGATTCCTAGCAACGGCAGTCTCAATTGTGATGAGACGACGGCATATCATCTCGGCACCCAACAAATTTGACACATCGACTTGGTCAACTGTAATCAAGCGCCGAAGGTAATCACACAAACATCGGTGTTCGTGAAGACATGCGGCATAGGAGGACACTCCACTGTTGCGGGCCCACTGCAAGTGATATGTCACCAGGTCAGAGGTTCCCTCACGGATGCTACGGAGAAACTCAGTTGTTGCTCTGGGCCCGGTGATGGGCCAATCGGAAAACTCAACCGAAGTCATGAGATCGAGCGCAGCCTGAAAGCAAAGATACCTACGACCCTGTGCATCACGGTGATCTCCCAAAAGCCGAGAGTCACCTTTGGTTTTCTCTCTCTGCTGAATCCACTCCGATCTCTTGGAAGTGGGAACACGGACTGCATGGACCACTTCGCCCTCATACTCAACCAATGCTGAATCATGAATGTACACAGCATCAACCATGTCTTCGGCTCTGAAGGTTTCCCCAAAATCATCACGTGTGACATCAGCAACAAGCCATTCGAAACTCTCTATCTCTTCCACAGTGGCATCATTGAACAAATTACTCATGGTCTTGGCCCTGCGTTTGTGATGGTCAAGCTGGGCCCGAGGAGTTTCATCAAAGGCGTATACATACGGGGACTGGGCATCCGGGAAATCGCTGTTACGATCCAGAGTGATGTGAGGAACAACTGTAAGATGGATACGCTCCAAATCACCATCAGGAGTCAACGCTATCCATTGCCCGGGACCAGTCTTTTCAAGTAACACCCTATGATGCCAATAGAAGTCACCAGCATCCCGTGGATAATGACGAATCACTTGAGGTTCACGAATGTCTAAGGTCTTGGGATCATTGGCCATACTGATCAGCCAATCGCTTCAGGTCTGATGGCCGGACTGGCCCACTACGCACTGGAATCGGAGTAAATTTCGAAGGCTCTGGAGACTTTCCAGAGCTAACTGGACTAGGCAGTGCAGCTGGCAAATCCACTACCACTGGAGCTTCGCAAAATACCCCACGCAGCAAGTACTTACGATACACCAGATATCCAGCAGCAATCAAAACACACCGGAGGACAAAAAGTCCAATGCACTTCAAGGCCAATGATTGAAGAAAATTGACACCCAAACAGCTTTCCAAAGAGTGATTAGCAAATTTGATAGTCTGCTCAGCTCGAAGGATCTCTGTCCGGACAGCCGCCAATTCACTTCGCCGGGCTGTGGAATCACCGCTATCAGTCGACCACCAAGACCGAATCCAATGGCTAACAAGGACCACGATGACAGTTAGCCTACCAGAATCTAGTTCACCGCAAAGCATCTTATTATATGTTGTTTATTGGCTCACATATGTATAGATGCACGCATATACACTCTCTTCTTTGCTCAACATTCTGGCAGCAGCAGCTTGTGTGAGATGTTGTCGAGTCATTTGCTACAATGCGCTGTGTGAATACTCTGCACGGCAAAAACAGCTTGAACTGAAGCGAAAGCTCCTGCAAGCGTGGCAAACTATTGCACTAGTCTGCCCCTGCTATGCTTGAGCTCAAACACAGCTCTCGTGACACATGTTGCAACTAAGTCAACTGTGTATATAGTATGTGTATGTATATATATATATGTGTGGTTAATAAACGTGTTTCAACACCTTCATCCATTGAAGCTGCACTGGCTTGGAAGCGCATACAGTAGGCCAGTAGGCCACAAAGCCACGGCAAGCACAACTTCTTCCCTCGATGCTGCCACACAAACGAGCACATGTTCCCTCACTTGCATGGGCCAAAGCCCTTCACTTGACCTTCAGCCGCCTGGCCCAAAAAAAGGCAGGCAACAATTGCAAAGTGTTTGCATACACCTGCCTTCCGGGCCAGTGCCTCGACGTATTGCGAAGATGCTCCTCCGGCTCTAGCAGCAAAGTTTTGAGGGTTTGCTGCAACTCGGGTCCACGGATATGAATTGCACTTCAACCACTGGCCTTGTCGTGAGTTGTAGCCTCCCCCCTGTAGACCTCGAGTTCGGCAAGCAGGATGAGACAATTCACTCCGCGGCCACGGTAGGGTCACCAAGCAGAGTAGCAAACCCTAGCACCAGTTGAAGGCAAGTTAGCCTACACTACGCTGACATAAAGCTTACGACTGATGACTCTTGGCGCCTCGAACCATGATCCAGTTGTCAATTCATAGGCAGTCTCGAGTTCCTCCTAGCACACTCACCACTCCTTGCTAGACTGGCCAAAGTCTGCATGGCATGCCCAAGAGCAGGTTGGACATGGATGTGCCTCACGAGATCACGTCAATGCCCCCAGGCCTCAGGCAAGGTTTGACTGGATCTCAAAATTTCAGAAGACACCTCCTCAGTGGGCAAGAATAGCATACCCTTCGCGCCCTCTACAATGGGTCATGGCACCGGATGGGTTTGCATCGTTTCACAAAGCTATTCCGGTGACTTGGTCCAGCCTTGTAGCAAAACAAAAAACACATTGTATCACTTCAGCCCTGTGATGCCTCCCCCACTTCATCACAAATGCAGACTCTACAGCTACATCAGCAGTGTCCCGGCTGCTTTTAACCCAACTGCTTCCCTTTCAAAGAAAACCTAGCTTCTGCCGCGCCATCATCTAGCAGCTAGCAACACCCATCAATTCCCTGATCACTGATGAAGGGGTTCCAATTGTATGTCTCCTTGTGTCCTCAGCAGCGATCAGGTGCAATCTGTGGTCAAGGCGCTGGCATCGGGAGCACAACCACTTGCGATCACAGTCGCTTCAACCTGCAAAGGTGTCAATGTGATAACACGACACTGTGTCCATCAATGCCCTCTGAAGTCTCAGACTGCCAAGGCAAGGTGGCGATTCAGTGCTCAAGCCTTGGACCCAAACAGCATGGCAAGGGACACTGGACTGACCTGACAAATGGCAAGCAAATTGGACATCAAGCCCACAACTGCTTGACCAGCGGCAGTGGCCATTGAAGCTGGTGGTTGCTTCTGTGGGGTCACCAATCACCTCACGGCGACTCAAAGCAACACTTTGTAGCCAGTGAGGCCAAGTGGACTGAATTGACACACATCCAAATCCAAAAATTCAATTGCCGTTGCAAGGCCTGGACAATGCCGAACTAACCTGAACATCCCGTGGCGCACCGGACGTACGTGTTTGAACACCACAGTAGGATGTTGATATCAAAGAACAGAGTTGGTGAGTCTAAAGGAGATGCGAAATGAGACGAAGAAACGCTTGAGTTTTGGCTGCCAAAGGTGAGCAAGGGTGCAGCATGTGGTCAACAAGGTGACTAAGAACTTAAACCTTCAAAGCAATGAGCTGCCGTGCAGTAGTGTGAAAGTGTTGGCTAGGCGGATGAAGGCAATCTGTGAGGTGGCTCTATGTCTGGCGGTTGGCATTGCATCAGCGGTGATTAATTGGGGCATGCAACTGAGGGTTTAGAAATGCCTTGGCTGAGTAAAGTTCGCGCTTCACCGCAAGCCCAAGCCACCACATTGGACTTCAAAGTGTGGCATGACACGTCATCGCATCATGAGCCCCCACATCCCCAATCGGAAATGGCATCGCAAATCAGGCCTTCGCAAATCACCACAAGTCCATCGGTCACCACAAGATATCACACTGCACTTCATCGTAGAAGCACAAATAACCGCATTGCTGTGATGAAGCGTAAGGTCACACATCACCACACAACAAAATGCAACAACACAACATCACATCCCACCACACAACACTTGGCAACGCGCATCCCAGTTTGCCATCGAGCCGCCATATTGCACCTCGCTTCCCATTGGTGCGTCACAAATGACCTCACACCACACTACACTTCATCCGTGCACATGTGTCAACACACCACTTCACAGCATCAGGAATCGCCACATTACTTCACCAACTGACAAATCACTACACGCCACCTTACCACACCCGTACGAAGTAACACTTCAACGCATCACAAATCACTATAGTATAGCAAGTCACCGAGCACGAATCAACATGTCACACTGCGCTCAGAGATAGCCACATCGCAACACACTACAGTCTATCACCACACGCACCACTCACTAAGATATACAGTATAATCATTAATTTTGAAAACCGCCCTCGCGCCACTTAGCAACTGAGCAGGCGCGCTGCGGCAGTCCCACACACTGCTACGCGAAGCTTCCTTTACTCCCAGGTTGTAAACGTTCATTCATGTTTGCTTGAAAAATGTATGGAAGGTGATTGATTACAAGGCCTTTTGGGGCTCAGTGGACATGTTGCTTTCAGGCTCAACTTGGTTGCATTTGCTACTTTTCCAGACCCGAGAGCTGGGTCAGGCTGTGTCCAAGTTGGTCAAAAATGTGGAACCTGTCCTCTCACCGCTTTTGCGTCGCTACTTCAGCAAGGGTCTCATGTCAATGGCGTAGCAAAGATAGGGGCAAGAAACGGAAGTCATACTTCTGATTCAGCTTTCCCGCAGACTTCACTTCAAGCTGGTGTCTATGCTGCTCAGGATGCAAAGTCAGCATGTCTTGGTCACAACTGCCTGAGTACGCTGGAACATGTGAACGTTTGCTTTTGCCTGGAAAATGCGGGTTTCAACCATCTCCTTTGAAGATGGTTGTTCTACGAGCGGCCTCCTAAATAAAACCTGTTTCTCCAAACTGCCGGTCGATGGCTGCCAAAGAACAACAATTGAAGCTGAATTCGTTGCTGAACTACCTGAGTGTGGGTCAATTCATCCACAGCGCTGCTACTTGCCTCCACTGAAACGCAAAGCTTGACGATGCCGATGCCTTGTTCAAGGGACCCCGGACTGTGACCCTCACCCACCTAAAGCTACCTAAACATTCTGAAAAGCTACACGCTCCTCTCTCTGCACTCAAGGATGCTCCAGACACTCCCGGCTCATGCACCGTGGAAGGACGTGTTGGCGCGCTGGCGCGACGGTGTGAGGGGTTCTTCCGGTTGATACTCGAGATCAATCCCCAAATCAATCCGTTGGTACAGAAACTGAGCCAGGTTATACACACTCACCGCGATGCTGACTATTTGTCGAAGAGCCGTGGAAGCATCTGAGACTGTGTACCAATAGGCATACGTTGTGAGTGCCAAGGATGCACATGCTTCAAAGCCCTGTTCTTCGGCGAAGATCTCCATCAAATCTCTTCGCATATATCCTTTCTTCACGCTCTTGCTCAGGGCATCTCGCAGGTTCAAGAGGCTCTCGGAAAAGACCTGTTGACCAAGTGACTTGGACAGGACAAAGACCATGAAGCAAGCGAACTTGTAGTTGCCACTGAAGACCATGGTGTGGATGTTCCAACAGTCCAAGACCAGATCCAGGACCAGCAACGAGACTCTCACGTACAAGCCCGACAAGAAGCGAAACAGGCCCCCGTCGCAAGCCCAGCCCTTCTCAAGAAGGACATTGGGAGGCAGGGCGATCTCCTCTTCTGGTTCTCCTTTTGTTTGATAGTCGACAGATATTAGGTCTTTCAAGAGTGCTTTGCCCTCCTCATTGGCATCCTCCTCGTTGGCCTCCTGGGCATCTTCCCTGTTCTCACCTTCACACTGAACAAAAAGTGTGCGGTAAGAGTAGGAGCCTTGAGCAGCTGTAGCACAGGGCAAGCTCAAGAAGCACTTGCCCAAAAGGCGTAGGACATACAAAAGGCCTGCCAAGAGCAGCAGGCATATTAAAAAAATAGTGATGGGATTGCATTGCAGTTCGAGGTCGACATTGGTCTTCTCCGAAGCTTCCCATGACAGAGTTGCTTTCAGCGAGGTCCTGGACCAAAGGCGGTAAGGCTTTTGCAGCAGCGCCTCCCAATGTGGATTTTGCAGCCCATACTTTAGTCCGAACTCCAGCACGACGCTGGGCACCCAAGTGGTGCTTTTACATACACTCTGAGCAATCACCGTCTCAAAGACTTCATCCTCACAGTGTCGAGGTCTTGCCAGCATCACGATGATGGTCACCAAGAAGAAGAATCGCGCTAAGGACAGTCTCGGGCCAACGCCTTCTTCAACCACAGGGATTTCTAGTTTTACTTCGTCCAGATCGCAAGGAGCCGGCGGCGCCAACATCAACCCAGGTGCTGCCAGGGCTTTTCGCAAGCCTCCGCAGGAGAATGAGCCTTGCTTAAGGCTTCGCGTCTGCCAGTACCAAGCAGGGAGGAAATAGAGGATGAAATGCAAAGAAATCCAAAAGTACGGCTGCACCACCCACATGCCGCACCCAAAGACCAAGACCAAGATGCTGAGGACATCGATCACCCGCAGCACACAGAACCAAGGATGTCCGATGCGGTGCCTGTAAAGGCAAAGCCATGCCCCATGGTAAAAGGCAAAGCCGTGTCCCTTGGATGTGCTGATCAAGGTGGCCAAACCCAAAAAACAACAATGCGCAATACGATTAGAGTCACAATTGTATACTCATATTCAGAGGCCTGTTAGTGGCTTGGAGTTTTTGCAAAACCATCCCACATAGGTCACGTAGCCCCACCCAATTCCCAGGTCTTTGTCTCTTCTCCAGGCAGCGCCAGCATCACGCGATGGAGATGCCTGAAACAGCGCCAAAATCATGCCCAAGATGAAGGCGAAAGGAAATCCCTCCAGGACCCACGGCTTCTCCAGCAATGCCCAGAACGTCCTGGAGCTCGGGGGCTATGTCTGTGGCATGTAAGGCCCTGAAACTACACAAACCCGAGGTGGAGAAGCTCACCCGCAACAAAACTATGGGACCTAATTACTGTACTTGATCACGTGTCAATCCTGGGTGAAACCCTTTTTGATTCACGTCCTCTGCCGATCCAAGAACTCTCTCGTCTGGACGTCCCTCACCACGGTGGCATCCACACAGGTGGTGCCATCCGACATGGTCTCGAAGACGTCGGCGCCGCAACGCACCAAGAGCTGTGCCATCTTCAAGCGACCCTGAACGGCCGCACTGAACAAGGGCGTGCTGCCCTGCTTGTCCTGGTGCGGAGGTGAGGCAAACAGAGATGGCATTTGGTTCTTGCAATCGGTTTTTGGGATGTTTTGGAGAACTTCTGCAATGTCTTCAAAAACGGTAGCTCGGCGCCGACTTTCAAGAAAATCCGCCCGGGTCAAAATCGGTTGCCACGAAACCGTTTCAAGCGTTTTCAATGGACGATGACGAATTGGGACCACACCTTCACATCCACGTCCGCATAGCGCTCCAGCAAGAGCTCCCCCATTGCCACATCGCCCTTCATGGCTGCACGATGCAAGGGGGTTGAGCCTGCCTTGTCCTCCCCGTCCACCTTGGCACCAGCATCCAGGAGCAGCTCTGCTATCTTCATGGACCATGGAGAGGTCGCAGCAGCTGCATAGGACAGAGGAGATCTGCCAAAGTTGTCCTTTTCATCCACGGGAAGCTCCTGACTCAATAGGAACTTCACGTCCTCCACCGATCCAGCTCTCACGGCTTCATGCAACAGCGTGCCGTTCTGAAAGCCCCCGCACTTCACTTGCAGGTGACTCGTCGCATTCGTGGCGGCCAGCTGCCCTTGGGACGCGATCTTGCACCTCTGCAAGGCAGTCTGGTCCAAGCAAAAATAGGAGGCGCGATGTTGGCAACACGAACGGATCTTCTTGACACTCCATGTTGAAAACCACTTCTCGACATGGTCGAAGCAATCCTCATTGCAGCCCATGCTCACGTTCTGGCAGTAGTCCTGCTTCTGCGCAGACCAGCCGTAGAGGCACTCGGATTTGCCGGCCTCACAATTATACTCCATGTTCTGGAGCCTCCGCGATGTAGAGGAGCCGGCCACCTGGCACTTGCGACCAGACCAGAGTTGCCACTAGCAAGGCAGTGTCTGTGTGTGTGTGTGTCTGTCTGCACGTGCGAGCACGTATGCACCCCACGTTTAGCTCATGATATGGTCAGAGTTTGTTTTGCTACTCCACCACAATCTGCCACCTCATTGAAATCAACCCACTTCTTGCAAAAAGGAAATGGCCAGGATAAATTCGCGTGGGAGTGAACCAAATTGCCCATTGTAGGCCATGAAAAATAAACCTCTCACGACTTCCACTTGCACCCATGTTTCTCCTCTAAGGATCGGCCCAGATCCCTCGGTTAGGGCTACTCAACTGCAAAACAAGTAGCAAAAGTCTCCCAAATGATCAAGAAAATTCAATAAGAAATATATGTGCAACAAAAAATCCAGTATCAGCTACGCCGCTACCCTCACCAATCTTGCCAGTTACCAGCAACAGGCGGTTCAACGAAAAGTCGGACTGTCACGCCTGGACCTGCTTTCCGATGGAAGAGTTCCCACTCGGTGGACTTGAACCGTTGCAGCCTTTGCCTTGTTTTCTGCAGCACCAATCTTGCTTCGCTAGTGACCACTCCTCAGTAAAACTTCACTCTGGCAATGAATCTTTAAAAAATGGTGCGTAAGTCAAGCATGATACCCTCGTGGATAAATAAACATCCAAAAGCTCGCATGCCATTGTGCAAACGCAGGAACAAGCTCGCAACATTTGGAACATCAAGGCTTGTGGCTACTAGCTGTCACGAACTTCTTGGGTCAAGTCGCACGGGAAAAGTCGCTTAATGCAGCATCGCAATCAAAGGAGGGGACTTCACACCCGGCTTCCTGCAATCATGTACTGGTGTGGGCTGCAAGGTGCAAACGATCCCTGCCTGGAGGCCGCATGCCCCGCAGCTGTCGCATTGCTCCCGCACCGTGCTGTAGGCCAAGATGCACGCGTCCTGGCAAAGCATCAGCCAAAAGGGAACATGTCATGATCAAGATAGATTATATAGATTAGATCAAGAGAAGTTAAAATTTAGAAACTTAGATTAGATTAGATTAGTCAAACAGACAGACAGACAGACAGACAAACAAACGAATAGATATATAGGTATAGATTCTGACAGATCAAAAAGTCGTACTCTCAGCAGTCTATCAGGGCCTTGTCGTCGCCAAACATATGGACTTTCGCCCACTTGATGCGGTCAATGCACTTCGAAGTTTGCCCTTGCCAAGTGAGGGTTGGCAGCGCACATTGCGCTTCATGAAACCATGCTCACCGTGCCTGCGTAGGTGCAAGAAGCTTGGCATCTCAACGAACTGCATCCTTTCTGGAAGTTGGTGCAGCACCTCACATAAGCTGAGCAAAACAAATGCTACTGAAATCCTACGCCAAAACTATGGCAACACAAAGCTCAAACCAACCCTTCCACATCCTTCTGCCACGTTGCCAAGATCGCTTTGCATCAGACCACAGGTGTTCCTTGGGCTGTCTTGCATATGTTTCGCCAAGGGCTCATTTCACATCAAAAACACAAGTCTTTTGGACCCAGGTTGTCCTCTTTCAAGTGCAGTCAAGCCACATTGGCAGTGCAAAGTTGTTCAGTGCAACCTCTCTGCGTCCTGTTGCAGCACCAATCCTTCTTGGAGCTTGACCAGCGTGGCCAGTTGGAGAAGTCAGCATCACAGTCATAGATCTGTGCGACAAGCGCAGGGGTCTTTAGCGTTGTGCACCACTGGGCTAAACAGGCTAAACATCACAAGCATCACCGTCCGAGTGCGGTCGATCGTCCGTGGAAAAGTCTAACTCGGTCCGTCACGCCTGGACCTGCTTTCCGATGGAAGAGTTCCCACTCGGTGGACTTGAACCGTTGCAGCCTTTGCCTTGTTTTCTGCAGCACCAATCTTGCTTCGCTAGTGACCACTCCTCAGTAAAACTTCACTCTGGCAATGAAAGCTTTAAAAAATGGTGCGTTGTCAAGCATGATACCCTCGTGGATAAATAAACATCCAAAAGCTCGCGTGCCATTGCGCAAACGCAGGAACAAGCTTGCAACATTTGGAACATCAAGGCTTGTGGCTACTAGCTGTCAGAACTTCTTGGGTCAAGTTGCACGGGAAAAGTCGCTCAATGCAGCATCGCAATCAAAGGAGGGGACTTCACACCCGGCTTCCTGCAATCATGTACTGAGGGTGTGGGCTGCAAGGTGCAAGCGATTCCTGCCTGGAGGCCGCATGCCCCGCAGCTGTCGCACTGCTCCCGCACCGTGCTGTAGGCCAAGATGCACGCGTCCTGGCAAAGCATCAGCCAAAAGGGAACATGTCATGCTCAAGATAGATAAATAGATAGAATAGATTAGATTAGATTAGATAGAGAGCGACAAACAAACAGACAGAAGGACGAACAAATAGATAGGTATAATAGAGTCTGACAGATCAAAAAGTCGTACTCTCAGCAGTCTATCAGGGCCTTGTCGTCGCCAAACATATGGACTTTCGCCCACTTGATGCGGTCAATGCACTTCGAAGTTTGCCCTTGCCAAGTGCGGGTTGGAGGCGCACATTGCGCTTCATGAAACCATGCTCACCGTGCCTGCGTAGGCGCAAGAAGCTTGGCACCTCAACGAACTGCATCCTTTCTGGAAGTTGGTGCAGCACCTCACATGAGCTGAACAGAACGGATACTTTTTGATCATGCCAGCCTTGCTTCATCCTGTCACGCCCTATGGCAACACAAAGCTCCAGCTGCCAAGCTTCTCAGATCGTTTCGCATAAGACCACAGGTGTTCCTTGGGCCGTCTTGTCTAGGTTTTGCCATGAGATCATTTGACCACTCTTTCACATCAAACAAAGAAGCCTTCTGGAACCAAAGTTGGACCTGATACCTTCATCTCGCCGAAGTCGCATCGCCAGTGCAGCGCAACGAGTTTTGACCTGCAAGGACAAAACTTGGCGGGGGCAGCGAAAGCTTCGGATTGATGGCCTAGGCCTGGGCTTTGAGGCACATGTTCATTTCAAGAACCCTGGGCGCCTGCAGTCTGATTCTTGCAGCCCAAGCCTGCTTGGCTGCAGCACCAAGCCTGCCAGTCAACTCCTCAAATCCTTCAAATGTAAATTGCAAGAATGATTCTAGGTTGAGTGTGGCTAAATCAGGGCACTGCTCCCAAGTCTCCAGGCCTGTTGGGCTCGCTTCTAGTGTCAGTAAAAAACACTCCAGGCCTGCTGGGCTCGAGGCCAGCCCTGCACCAAGTGCTCCTCACAGTTGTACTCCACCTCCTGTTTCAGGATTGCGCCCCCCGGTCAGCCAAAGCGCACAGCCAGGGTCTGGTATCTGTTTTCGGGGGCCAACCAGTTGGGGTGCGGGTGGCACAAACTGTAACACTCCTGTTCGTTTCGATTGGATCTGCCTGGACTGCGCTGGAGCTCATGTTCTGCGAGCGATTCTGGCTGGAGAGAGGGCATCCCTTCTTGAAGGTGTTGCAGCACCTCCAATGAGCTGGACGAAATGTGAGCTAGCAGCTAAGAGCAGCTAGTACTATGGCATCCTATGACCAAAACAAAGCTTTCCGTGCATACCCTTCTGCCAGGCTGCTCAGATCGTTTGGCTTCAGTCCACAAGTGTTCCTTGATACGTCTTGTCTGGTCCCTCTCACCACACTTCATTCACATCAAAAATTAAGCTTCAAATTTTCTGGACCCGGGTTGGACCGCCGTCAAGTGCAGTCAAGCCACACCGCCAGTGCAAAGCTGTTCGGTGCAACCCCTTCTGCTTCCTGTCGCAGCACCACTCCTTCTTGGAGCTCGACCAACTTCGAGCCCACTGAGAAAAGTCGGCATCACAGTCATAGTCCCGAGGATGCTCGGCCGACTTCGCCGCATGCGGAGACCTTGGGGGCGGGCATCCCTTTCCACCATGGCGACAGCACCAGTTCTTCTGCTGCAGTGACCACCCCTCGGGGTCAGGAGCGCTGCAGTCATAGGCTTTCAGGGCCTGGCACTGTGCTGCGCCTGCGCTCTCAGCGCGCACAAAGGAGACCATAAGTAGCAGCTCACATAGGACCCGCGTCCATAGAGCGCTCACCATGCTTCCCCACTACATTCGAACCGGAAAACTCACAGAAAGCTTTGGACTGTGGCTCCAGAAGCACACGGACACACTCCACTGGGTTCCCTCGATGAGGGTTACCTGAAATGGTTGTGATGAACTTCCAGCCCTTCGATGTGGGACCACAGGATGTATACAAGCATCTGGATACGTAACAATTGGGCAGCCTGGCATGTTCCCATGCCAGGAGCTCCGCGGGTGGTCCAGTGGTCCGGGCCTACCATGTCTTGCGCTTCTGAATGGGAGAACTCAATGAATCGTTGCAAAAAAAATTTGGTCAACCCCTGCAGTGGATTGAGGCATCCCACGAAGCAGCTGCCCCTTTGGTTTTAACTTCCTCCACCATCAACTCACGTTGAGTCGGACCAGCAAGTGATGTTTTACATGGTGTGATCTCCGATCATCTTTCACATGTTTGGTGGACAAACAGGACGGCGACGGTGTGCCGATATAGCCTCCAACAGGTTTTAAGATTTTTCCTTGGGTAGGGTCAGCTCCTTGAGGCCCTTGGCACATGGTCACGCGGAACAAAGATCTATCAACGTGGGTCGGTATGTAAACGGGTATCGGTATGGTGTGTATGCATGCAATACAACAATGATTCTGGCAAACGCACTTCACCCCAAAACAACGTTTTGTATATAATCCTTCAAGCCATATTTTCGCCGTCGCCCGGTCTCTGACCACCCAACAGGTCCCAGATGCAATGAGCAGGGATTTGATGGGAAATGCCATCTGAGAGGATCAAATTCGGGAACGGTTCCGGCAACAAAAACTGCCAGAGCCCAGTGCCGGGTTCCAACGTTTTTCAGGCGGTACACAAGGGTTAATTTGCGGTGCGTTCTTGAGAAGGAAAATTCCACTCCCAAAATGTCCACTCCTTGTTCTCAAATACTTGTGACGGCATCCGTTTGGTGCTCTGAGGCATGTGGTTTCAACAATGCAGCCAGCATTTTTCTTGCAATTTTAGGAGTGCCCTGTAAGGGCTCACAGTCGTAGTCCAAATCATTGGCAGATGGTTCCAAGGTAATAGACTGTATGACTGAAAAAAAACGAGTCAATGTTGTAAGGGCAATGGGAACTGCAATGGGATCGTTGGACTGCATTGAGGAGGCTGACGTGCTTGCACAATGTGACGTTTGCAACAATGTGCGCGCCTACATTTGTCTTTGCACCGCTCATTGTTCATGAAAAATTGTTTCCATCAGGAATATGAAGTATGAGTTGGCCTGGGTTGTTCCTGATATTGTTTCTTTATGTATGTGACGTGTGCGTGTGTACGGTGAAAGGGCATGCTGCATGTCACATGTCTCTCTTCCGCGTGTGTTTCGCTGACTTTGAGGCCTTGTTGATGAATGTCATCAACGTGCCCAAACCGCGGTGCCAGGATTGAGGTTGGAAAAGTGATAGGTAAAAAAAGGGTGCGGCAAGGCCATGGCGGACGTTTGTTCGCACTGTGGCCCGTTCGTGTTCATCCTGATTGCGTTTCGCTGTGGTGCATTGAGGTTGCTAGCGCTTGGCACCACCCAAGACCTCCAGTTGAGGAAGTCAATCCAAATTTATGAGGCAAATTGCGTTTTAAAAAATTGTGTTCCAAGTGCTGGGGCCAGCCGCTGCAGAAGGAGGCTGTGAACACCATTTGCAAACCCAAGAGGTTGCCACAGCAAATTTGAACGAGAGGAACCTTACCCTTATGTGTTATGGTGTTTAACGCGCCAAATGGTCCAATCCTGCTTGCTGCCTGTTTAATCCTGAAGGCAGCAAACTCACGGAGCAGAAGTGCACACACAAAACGCATGTGCGATGTGAAACAACCTTCCAACGTCCAATGATCGAAATTGCATGACTACCCCTCAACGCAACCACGACGAAAGCCCTCGCTTGACTCCGAGGCTCTTGCTTGGGAACCTGCTGCTTCTGCATTGAAGAGCGCCGCCTGCCGGGAAAAGAGTCAGGACAATGTGGGAACCTGCTTCTGTGAACGCACCCTTCGTTCCAGTTTTTTGTTTCAATGAGTAATTGCCCGTGAACCATCAAACATACACCTGCACACTGCTGTTTTGAAAGCGCCTGGGTGTCACACTGGCAGTCGCATCCTGGGCCGGCAGCTGTTTCAGCGTGTGCGCTTTGAACGGGTGCAGGACGCAACATGATGAAACCACTTTCGCGTTTCCAACCCACAACTTGTAGTGCACATTCCCTTCCCAACCATGTCCAAATCGCTATTTGGGCACCTTCCATCTGGTCTCACGCGCTTCGGTTCCCGTTCGGACGCTCCGAAACTTGAAGCCGGGCACTGTTGGGACGAAACAGATCAGACTCACATGCTTCATAAAAACTGTTCGCGGACATATTTCTTTTAGATTCTACTTGCCAATCACTTCCTGTGGGCACGTTCAATAATTCAATTCTTCGCGGCCACCCCACACAAAACAGCATCCAATTCATGGAGTTGTCCTACCTTCTCCTTCTTTTTCCCCACTTTCCATTTTTTGTTTATTTATCTCATTTTTTTCCGCAGCGAGTTCTGGTGGAAAACCATTTGTATACCGGCGGTTCCCGGATGCGCATGGCCATTTGTATACCGGCGGCCACCGGATGTGCAAAAAGTTGATGGGCTGGGCCAAAGTCCAGACCCACATCGGCCTTTAGGGACCCTCTCGAGCAACGAGTTCGCCTAAGGGCAGGTGGTCCGCTTCAGCAGGACCATCACGAGGGAGAGAGACCAATGAGGCAGCAAGAGCGTGCGTGGCTGCATGTGTGTTGATGGCTGCGGTGGCGGCTGCCTGGATGGCTCCGGGGGAGAGTAAGTGTGCCATCTGACCCCATCTTCAATGGCTAGCACGATCAAACGGCAACGGGAGGCTGTACGGAACTCAGGGTACGCCCGCTCTTTGGCCTTTCTTGCATCTTGTAATGCCGCTGCTGCAAACTGGCCCCCCCCCTCGCCGTTGTGGTTGGCCGGTGCTGGTGAGTGGCGCAAACCAGCGTGGTGTCGATGGCCAGCTGGCTGCCATTGTGGAGTGACAAGCCGTTGGCAATTACATCAATTCGTGGATCATCAACTTGCCAGACGGCCGGGAGATTGAGGTCTGAGACCCTAGTGGGCATGATTGTGCATGGTGACCCTGGCGCCTGCTTCTCTGCGCTCTCTGGCCGCTGCATGTTCTAAAGGAATAATTACCTCGAACCCGCGGGACCCCAGCCTTGGAACAAGCTGCGCGGTGGTCGCCAAGTGAGTCAAGATTGCGACGGCACCGGCAGGTTCAGCGAGGGTTTGTCTGGCTACGTTGGCCGGAGCAGCCGGAGGAGGTATACAGTTGTTTTTGGGACTGGCCGCGTCAAGTAACAGGAGCCATGAGGCTCTACCCATCTCAGCCTCTGTCGTTTCTATCCACGGAGTGCGGCCACGAAAAATTCAAGGCTGGGCCAAATACAGCGCCAAAGTGCTGCCCCAAAAGGCAACTCCTGTCCCGCGAAAGTGGGACAGTCGCCTGGGCCAGGCAACCCCAGCAGTTTCGCCGCAGGAGTAGGGCAGCTCGATTTTGTGAGAGCGTTGGAAGGATGTCGGCTGCGTCCGGACAGGCCAGTAGCCACAACCAGGCGGTGCCTTTGGCAGCAAATCGCGGCCCACTGCGGGGTGGTGGCCTGCCGGCAGTGAGTGCGGCACGGTGATTGTTTTTTTTTCTCATGGTGATTGCTCAGGTGGCGCGCGGTCAGCCAAAGCTTGCCAAAAAAACCAGGTTCCTCCTCCTGACCGCAAAATTTGGAGGGAGTGGTAGGCGGAGGGAACAAAACGGTAAACCCAATCCGTGGTGATGCCACCGACTCTCAGAGCGGAGCATGGTTGGACATGCTGGGGTCAAAGTCAGACAAGTCCCGGACAGGGAGCTCCCACCCCCGTTCCGGGGCGCGGGTTTCATATACATTGCCAAGGTGCGCATACCACGGCCGCAAGCTGACGGTGGAAAGCACCGGCATCAGCAGGTTGTTGCCCGGCTGGCAAATCACCACACCTTGGAGAGAAACCTTGTCCAACATCATGCGGCCGCGGCGACGCTTGGGCCACGATGTTCTGATGTGAGCCATTTTGACGCCTCCAAAAAGCAAAAGAACACTTTCCGACAAAATGTTTCCATGTTTTTTGCCCTTTTTCGATCACTTTTTGAAGCCTAGACACTTTAACAACCCGCGCAGACCGGAGGAGCTGAAAACATTAGTACTTACGGTGTTTTCTAGCCGTTGACAAAGAGCCGCGCCAGGGTGAAGTTGAAAGGGAGGGGTGACACGAACTGCAATGCGGTGGGTTCCCCGTGGAAAGAACAAAATCTCGAGAGGGGTCCATTCGGACGATGCCCGGACACGAGTCGAATGCAGTCGGTTGCGAAAGCAAGCGGTTGTTCTCAGTCTTGAGCCAAATGTATCAGTCATGTATGTACATAAAATGTGCGACCATACAAAGGTTAGTTCCAGGAAGGTGTTTTTCTCAGGCTTGAGCCAAATGTATCAGTCAGGTATGAGTGTAAAACCATACAGAGGTTGGTTCCAGGAAAAAGGAAACACAGCGGGCCCCCCCCCCGGGATTTAAAATGAAATGTCGGAGGGCGATTCTCAGTGAGATAGGCGTCCACTCTGGCTATAACGCATGTTTGCTATAGCACAAGGACAACTCAGGTAGCGTAACCGCTACCTTTCGTGACTTTGCGATCGGGGTTTACCCTTTTTGCCGCACTACGTGCTCTCTCAACTTTGAGTATTTCACCGTGTGTGAGTCCGTTCGCCGTGCTTCTTGCTCAGTAGTGGTCTGTCTGTCTCCCAAAAACCTCCTCCAGTCTCACGTGCTGGGTCTGCAAAGTTTTTGCATCCTGAGAGCAAGCCCAGTGGCCGCTGCGCTTCACTTAGCCACGCGCCGGTCATGTCGGGTTCAACAACCTGTCCCGGATGTGCCAAGCGTCAAGATCAAGGCCATTCAAATCCCCCACCAGTTTCACCACTTACAA